CAGCGCTCCCCTCCCCCTACCCCCCTGTCTCTCCCCCCTTGCCCCTCCCCCCTATATTACCTATATAACCTCTTACCACGGCAAGTCTCTCCCACTTCAGCAAAAAAAGTTGCTGTGGTTTTCCCACCAGATGATGATTGCGTGTGTTGCAATCGAAACATCGTGATTAAATTTAATTTTATACCTACGTTACTTTACCAAAAGAACCAGAGAGTATGGATTCCTGCAGTCACGAAAGCTTCAAATCTAGATTACTACCCATAGACTCAACACTACCCATAGACTCAACACTACCCATAGACTCAACACTACCCATAGACTCAACACTACTCATAGACTCAACACTGCCCATAGACTCAGCACTTCCCATAGCCTCAGAACTGCCCATAGACTCAGCATTGCCCATAGACTCAACATTGCCCATAGACTCAACATTGCCCATAGACTCAACATTGCCTATAGACTCACCACTAACTATAGACTCAACACTACCCATAGACTCAACACTACCCATAGACTCAACACTACCCATAGACTCAACACTACCCATAGACTCAACACTACTCATAGACTCAACACTGCCCATAGACTCAGCACTTCCCATAGCCTCAGAACTGCCCATAGACTCAGCATTGCCCATAGACTCAACATTGCCCATAGACTCAACATTGCCCATAGACTCAACATTGCCTATAGACTCACCACTAACTATAGACTCAACACTATTCATAGACTCAACACTACCCATAGACTCAACACTACCCATAGACTCAACACTACCCATCGACTCAACACTGCCCATAGACTCAACACTACCCATAGACTCAACACTGCCCATAGAAGGGAAACAATAAAATAATAAAATATATGTAAAACAAAAAAATTCTCACGACGTTTCGACCATAACACAAACGATCATCATCAGGTGTGAAAAACCAACGGCAAGAAACATTTGAAAGAAGTGGCGGTTTGCATTTATTTATTTTTAAACGGTGTATTCATTTATAAAAAACGTTAGCACCACGGGCAGCGATTTGGAAGTTTATCTAGAAGGACGAGTCCATCTATATTCTGAAAAGAGGAGGGGGGAGACGAAAAATTAATGTATGCTGTCTGAAAGCCACCGTAAGCGTGAACAATCAATTAAGACCTGAAATGGTTTATCAAATCCTTCCAATGATTGCTAAACCAGAATCCATCTTCTCGGTTGAAATTGTCTCTGTGCTTGTATATGTGGATAGCCTCAAGAACGAATCTTTCATGGTAGCCAGATGGCTTGCAAAGAACCTCTGTCTTGGAGAAGTCAATGTCATGTGAGCCTACTGAATTAATAACAATGATCTGCCACGGCCGAGTTGTTGGTCCTACCGTGTTTAAGGTCTGCTTTGTGTTCACGAATGCGGTCCGAGACATGGCGTTTGGTTTCTCCAATGTAACTACTACCACAGAGGCAACTTAGTTTGTAGACACCAGGGTACTGTATGTCCGGAATCACATCTTTTACAGACGGAACCAGATCACGGATTTTATGTAATATGTTGAAACGGACCTGGATCTTGTGTTTATTCAAGATTTTGGAGATCTTTTTTTGTGATCCCCGCAATGTAGGGTAAAGTGATGGTTTTGAAAGGCTCCTCAAGAGGGTCCTTCTTCATGGTTTGAGTGATATCTTTGTGGATTGTATAGTCGGAGTAACCATTAGCCTTAAGAGCTTGGTGTACGTGCTTGAGTTCACTGCCTATGTGTTCCTGGTCGGATATGCATTGGGCTCTATGGTACAGAGTCTTGATGAGAGAATTCTTCTGTGATGAATGGTGGTGGGAATCCGGTTTCAGATAAGCATCCGTATGGGTAGCTTCCCTGTAGACAGAGTGGCTCATTGAACCATCAGGTCTCTTTTTTATTAGGACATCCAAAAAAGGTAGCTTGCCATCTTTTTCGACTTCCATGGTAAATCTGATGGCTGGGTGTATGGAATTGATGTGGTTGAAGAATTGGTCTAGAGCAGGCCGGCCATGTGGCCAGATGACAAAAGTGTCATCCACGTACCTCTTCCATAAGGTTGGGCGCAGAGTGGCAGTCTGGATGGCGTCAGTCTCAAATTTCGTCTCACCAGGGGGGGTACCTCAGTGTTTAGTCCTTGAAGACTTGGTTCATCAAGGACTAAACACTGAGGTACCCCCCCTGGTGAGACACTGTTTAACCAATACATACTTCACTTGGAATGGAACTTTCTACAAACAAACTGAGGGCACTCCAATGGGCTCCCCCCTATCTCCGGTTATAGCTAACATTTTCATGGAGAAATTTGAGACTGACGCCATCCGGACTCCCACTCTGCGCCCAACCTTATGGAAGAGGTACGTGGATGACACTTTTGTCATCTGACCACATGGCCGGCCTGCTCTAAACCAATTCTTCGACCACATCAATTCCATACACCCAGCCATCAGATTTACCATGGAAGTCGAAAAAGATGGCAAGCTACCTTTTTTGGATGTCTTAATAAAAAAAGAGACCTGATGGTTCAATGAGCCACTCTGTCTACAGGAAAGTTACCCATACGGATGCTTATCTGAAACCGGATTCCCACCACCATCCATCACAGAAGAATTCTCTCATCAAGACTCTGTACCATAGAGCCCAATGCATATCCGACCAGGAACACATAGGCAGTGAACTCAAGCACGTACACCAAGCTCTTAAGGCTAATGGTTACTCCGACTATACAATCCGCAAAGCTATCACTCAAACCATGAAGAAGGACCCTCTTGAAGAGCCTTTCAAAACCATCACTTTACCCTACATTGCGGGGATCACAAATAAGATCTCCAAAATCTTGAATAAACACAAGATCCAGGTCCGTTTCAACACATTACATAAAATCCGTGATCTGGTTCCGTCTGTAAAAGATGTGATTCCGGACATACAGTACCCTGGTGTCTACAAACTAAGTTGCCTCTGTGATAGTAGTTACATTGGAGAAACCAAACGCCATGTCTCGGACCGCATTCGTGAACACAAAGCAGACCTTAAACATGGTAGGACCAACACCTCGGCTGTGGCAGATCACTGTTATAATTCAGTAGGCTCACATGACATTGACTTCTCCAAGACAGAGGTTCTTTGCAAGCCATCTGGCTACCATGAGAGATTCGTTCATGAGGCTATCCACATATACAAGCACAGAGACAATTTCAACCGCGAAGATGGATTCTGGCTTAGCAATCATTGGAAGGATTTGATAAACCATTTCAGGTCTTAATTGATTGTTCACGCTTACGGTGGCTTTCAGACAGCATACATTAATTTCTCGTCTCCCCCCTCCTCTTTTCAGAACATAGATGGACTCGTCCTTCTAAATAAACTTCCAAATCGCTGCCCGTGGTGCTAACGTTTTTTATAAATGAATACACCGTTTATAAATAAATAAATGCAGACCACCACTTCTTTCAAATGTTTCTTGCCGTTGGTTTTTCACACCTGATGATGATCGTTTGTGTTATGGTCGAAACGTCGTGAGAATTTTTTTTGTTTTACATATATTTTATTATTTTATTGTTTCCCTTCAACGTGACTTTGCCGAAAGAGCTAAGAATATGAATTACTGCAGTCACCAAAGCTTTAAATCAAAATTTAACTGCCCATAGACTCAACACTGCCCATAGACTCAACACTGCCCATAGACTCAACACTGCCCATAGACTCAACACTGCTCATAGACTCAACACTGCCCATAGACTCAACACTGCCCATAGACTCAACACTACCCATAGACTCAACACTGCCCATAGACTCAACACTACCCATAGACTCAACACTACCCACAGACTCAACACTGCCCATAGCCTCAGAACTGCCCATAGCCTCAGAACTGCCCAAAGACTCAACACTGCCCATAGACTCAACACTACCCATAGACTCAACACTGCTCATAGACTCAACACTGCCCATAGACTCAACACTGCCCATAGACTCAACACTACCCATAGACTCAACACTGCCCATAGACTCAACACTGCCCATAGCCTCAGAACTGCCCATAGCCTCAGAACTGCCCATAGCCTCAGAACTGCCCATAGCCTCAGAACTGCCCATAGCCTCAGAACTGCCCATAGACTCAACACTGCCCATAGACTCAACATTGCCCATAGACTCAACACTGCTCATAGACTCAACACTGCCCATAGACTCAACACTACTCATAGACTCAACACTGCCCATAGACTAAACACTGCCCATAGACTCAATACTACCCATCGACTCAGCACTACTCATAGACTCAACACTGCCCATAGACTCAACATTGCCCATAGACTCAACACTATTCATAGACTCAACACTACCCATAGACTCAACACTGCCCACAGACTCAACACTGCCCATAGACTCAACATTTCCCATAGACTCAACACTATTCATAGACTCAACATTATTCATAGACTCAACACTACCCATCGACTCACCACTACTCATAGACTCAACACTGCCCATAGACTAAACACTGCCCATAGACTCAAAACTACCCATCGACTCAGCACTACTCATAGACTCAACACTGCCCATAGACTCAACATTGCCCATAGACTCAACACTATTCATAGACTCAACACTACCCATAGACTCAACACTACCCATATAAATTTTGATTTAAAGCTTTCGTGCCTGCATTAATTCATATTCTTAGCTCTTTCGGTAAAGTCACGTTGAAGAGCTAAGAATACTACCCATAGACTCAACACTGCCCATAGACTCAACACTGCCCATAGACTCAACACTGCCCATAGACTCAACACTACTCATAGACTCAACACTGCCCATGGATTCAACACTACTCATAGACTCAACATTGCCCATAGACTCAGCACCGTACCTCCAATTAGCATGGTTGGCTTCGTATGGTGTGAAAGAAGTTCAACATACATACATGACCACGCAGGGGTGTGGAGGGTGGGAGGAGATACCCGTGTCTCTATGTGCGTGCCCCCATGCACGTGCAGTGACCTGGCGGCGCGGAACTGCCTGGTGGGCGATGCGATGTCTCTGAAGATCAGCGACTTCGGCATGTCGCGCGAGGAGGAGGACGGGGTCTACTCGGCCTCCGGGAGCCTACGGCAGGTCCCCATCAAGTGGACGGCACCCGAGGCCCTCAACTTCGGTACCCGTGGGGGAGGGGGGGCGGGGGTCGTGGGGGAACAATGGAAACATTTTGCGGGGTTATCGTTGTCAAGTGCTCGGCACAACTGCCACCACCGGGGATGGCCGAGTGGCAACGCTTGTGTCTGACAGCAAGGGGTCCTGGGCTTTAATTCCTGACTCGGTCACCTTTCTGCATGGAGTTAGTATGTTCTGCCCCTGTTGTTGCGTCGGTTTCCCCTAATTCTCCGGTATCTTCCCATTACGAAAACAAAAGTGATATTGGCCAAACACCGATGCTGAAGCATCACCTGCAGATCACTCAGTTGGGAGTAACGTAAGCACTGCCACTGCGACTGCAAAAACTTGGCAAGGAGCTTCCTGATAAAAGGATCTTGAGACTCGGTGAGTCCATCCTGGGTAAATGAGCAGGATTGCTGGTAAACAGCCTCTCACTCAGAACAGCAACCAAGGAAGGCTGTCCTCAAGAATAATTCATATAATGAAGATTATCTTTTTAAATATTTGTTGGAACGCTTTCAAATACATTTTGACCTTGGGAGAAGTAGTTCAGGTGGTTTCCCCTTCTGTTACTCAATGCGTGCAGTTTATTGTTGGCTTATTGTCATTGACCTATCCAGCTTTGGTGACCCTGCTGGCAGTGGAAGCGCCCGCTGGCATAGATCTCCATGTCACTGATACACGGTGCTCCTCCACCACCACAAGGGAGAGGAAGAACATCTGGATTGGGCAGCCAGCAGAGAGAGGGAATGAACTGACAGAGCAGAGAGAGAGAATGAGCTGACAGAGGGGATTGGGCAGGTAAAAGAAAGAGGGAATGAGCTGACGGAGCAGATAGAGGGAATGAGCTGACGGAGGTGATCTGGCAGTGTCAGAAAGAGGGAATGAGCTGATGGAGGCGATTGGGCAGGTAGCAGAAAGAGGGAAACACAAAGACGGGCTAAAACAGGTGCTTGGGAAGGCAGCCAGAACCGGCACCAACAATTGCCCAATTTCTGTGCTTCTATATTGAGGTGTTTGGCCAACTCCATGAATGAGTGTTTATACATGTAGGAAGAAAGCACAGCACCTGGTGAAAGTCAGAGCGCTTTTAAATCCACGTTTCTGCGGCCGTCTAAAACGCTCTTCCGATATTAGGAAGCCACTGGAGCTATGCATCTTTAAATCTTGATTGAAAACACATTTTATTAGAACCGCTTTTTGTATTTATTTTCTTGTCCTTCCCCCACACCTCCGGTTAGCACAGTTGGCTACATACAATGTGAAAGAAGTTTAACATACATATGTAATGACTGATGATGAAGTAGTATAATTAGCTTTTTTTTTATTTGAATACTTCCAAAATAAAGGACCACCCTAGGCTTCGTGCTTATCTTCCAGCTTGTATCTTCCTCCGAAAGTCTCACTCCTCGTGCTCTCCCATTTTAGATTTCTTAGCTCCCTGTCTCGAACCTTCTTGTCTTCTTTTTTACCTTGAGCCAATCCCTGTCCTTGCCCTCTAAACGGATCCTTTCTGTTTTCCCGTTTTCTCGCTCAACCCTAATTCCTCCAATCCCTTGAAAAGTCTGCGTTCCGACCAATCACCATGGAGGCCTCTTTCTTCCAATCGGAGACCTTTGTTTATTTTCTATTTTGAAATAGCCATTAGGCGGTTTAATACGTAAGCCAATATGCAGCCATTAGGCTGCATATTGTGGCTGCATATTGGCTTGGGGTAATTTTTCGGTCATTACACATACATACAAACGTGAGGGGAGTAACTCAATCCCCTTGAAATCAGAGACGTGCGGTCAGAGGAGGCAGGGGAGGCAGAGCCTCATCTGTCATACTCCAATGAAAATAGCTGTTACGAAAAGTAAAAAAAAAGAATAATCAAATAAAATAAATATTAAGATTTTTCCACTGATCGGTGTTATAAATGTCATTTCTGTACGATTCCAATCATTTTTATAGTCAAAATCGCCAAATTTGCGGAGCTCCGCTGCAAATACAGGAAGAGACGAGAGGTGAGGCAGCGACGAGCTCAGCCTCCCCTCTGATTGCACAACCCCTCAATAACTGGATGAAGCGCGGGCAATAAGCTCGTGCCTGTTACTATCTCAGTGTGTCACCAATGTAATGTTTATAGACCCCTTCATTTCATATCCTCGCCTTCCATTCTCCAGGTAACTTATTTCACGTATGTGTATAAAGATATTTAGGCTCGCTGGTCTTGTCATGAAACCGCAATGAAAAAGCACCAGGGGAGGCAGCTATCACATCTGCCTCATTGAGGGGGACGTGTCTAACACGCCCTCCTCAGTGAGGACACGCACCCTCCGTGAGGCCACGCCCTCCTCAGTGAGGCCACGCTCCCCTCAGTGTGTGAATCTGGCTCTGACACGAGCCAGTGCCTCCCCAGCCATTGACCTTGCCGCACGTCACTGCTTGAAATGGAAATTAACCCACTTGCTGTACTGCAGCACCCCTGGCAAGCCAAAAGATGGCGACCTCAACGCACATGGGTAAGGGGAGGGAGTTTAACGAATGCGTGTTATCCATCAACCCTCGCCGCCTTCCCGCATCGCTGGGTTACGGGTCCATGAGCAGCACGGCCACCCGACGGGTGTTTAACCGCTGTGTCCCCACCCACCACTGTGCAGGCACATTCTCCACGTGTAGCGACGTGTGGAGTTTCGGCGTGCTGCTGTGGGAGACGTTCAGCCTGGGCAGCATGCCCTACCCCGGCATGACTAACCAAGAGGCGCGCGAGCAGGTGGAGCGTGGTGAGTGCCGGGCACACATGTACAAACACACACACCACACACTCCGTATAACCTTTAACGGACTGCTGGCGCAAGTGCAGTAAGCGAGAAACTTTTAAGGGCATCGCACGAGGTGGTGTGGCCATCAACCATGGCCCGGCGGCCGCCTTTGTCTCCCCTGTGCCGATATTTACATGCCCTTCACCAGGTACTCGTATAAGACCAGGATCAGTTTGGATATTCGTTGCTGATTTTGACCATGAGTGGCGATCGAACTCGCGGGTTGCCAAGTTGATTGAGCAGTGTGCTAACCTCTGCAACACCGCACGCGTGCCGAGCCCACGCGCATGCCCATACATTTGCAACGATGCCTCCACGTGACGTACACAAGATGTTTTGGAAAGTATTGTTAGCGAGAACCCCTTCACGGCTAGAAGGATGCACATACGAACTCAATTGGGCACACAAATGTGTACTTAATAGACAAATGCAAAAAATACCCCATTTTGCCTTACAAGCCTGGACGAGAATCAAAGGTGGAAGGGCATGGGGGCTTACCACACCCCCCACCTTTCAATGTGCAGTGCAGACCTTAATTGGTACTCGATAACAATACTTGCCCCAGCAATGTTAAAGATTACATGGGGGGTGGGGATCTTTGTCTCCTGTGTCCAGGCTACCGGCTGGAGGCCCCAGAGAAATGCCCACGGGAGGTTCACCAACTCATGCTGCGTTGCTGGCAGTATGAGCCCAAGCAGCGGCCTCGCTTTTCCGACCTTCAGCGCGAGCTCTCCTCCCTCAGCAAAAAATACTTTGCGTGAGCTGGCCCCTCGCCCGCCCTCTTAATCGCCCGCCCGCCTGCCTGCCGCCCGCCCGGCTCGCCCGATTTGTTCCCTCTTTCAGTCGCCTGTTCACTTATTCGCTCTACTTTTCACTTGTTTGTTAATTGCACTCATTCATTCATTGGCTCGCATCCGTGTTCATTTGTTTCTGCTCAAACTTGATATGGAGCTTTCGTGACTGCAGGAATTTATCTTTAGTTCTTTGGGTAAAGTCACGTAGAAATATATTTTTTTTTAATAGCATATGACGTTTCGATTGCAACACAAGCAATCATCAGGTACAAATGAAAGAGAAAACAAACCTAGTAAACTTAGAAATATAATCCATTACAACACAGAGAATCGGCTACCATAACAGTCAACACCCTACCTGGTTGATTACGTTCTTCCAAAGATTGCTAAATTTGAGAGAGAGACAAAACACAGACACTCAGACACAAAGACAGACACATAAGAGAGAGATAACACAGAGATACACAGAGAGACACACATTGGCACACAGAGAAACAACGCCTCTGTGTCGAGGCCTTACATAAATAGAGGGGGGGACAGAGAGAGGGGGGGGGTAGATAAATTAGCATGTCAATGATAGATTTGGAGCTTTCTTTACTGCAGGAAATAATAGAGCAACAACACGAGGACACACCGAGAGAGAGAAAACACACTTAATCAAACAAAATTTGGAAATGTAATGCAATGCGTTAATTGTGTGTTGACCGACTTTCTGTGTTGCATTGTATTACATTTCCACATTTTACTAAGTTAATTTGATTAAGTGTGTGTTCTCTCTACCCCCCCTCTCTCTCTCTGCCCCCCTCTATTTATTTAAGGCCTCTACACAGAGGCGTTGTTTCTCTGTGTGCCTACAATGAGGGAAAAAAAATATTTGATCCCCTGCTGATTTTGTACCTTTGCCCACTGACAAAGAAATGGTCAGTCTATAATTTTAATGGTAGGTTTATTTGAACAGTGAGAGACAGAATAACAAAAATATCCAGAAAAACGCATGTCAAAATGTTATCAATTGATTTGCATTTTAATGAGGGAAATAAGTATTTGACCCCCTCTCAATCAGAAATATTTCTGGCTCCCAGGTGTCTTTTATACAGGTAACGAGCTGAGATTAGGAACACACTCTTAAAGGGATTGCTCCTAATCTCAGCTTGTTACCTGTATAAAAGACACCTGTCCACAGAAGCAATCAATCAATCAGATTCCAAACTCTCCACCATGGCCAAGACCAAAGAGCTCTCCAAGGATGTCAGGGACAAGATTGTAGACCTACACAAGGCTTGAATGGGCTACAAGACCATTGCCAAATAGCTTGGTGAGAAGGTGAGGGAAATAAGTGAGAATTTTATTTTTTATTTTATTTTTTTATTCTCATTCTACGTGACTTTACTGAAAGAACCAAAGAAGAAGGTAACAACACTTGGTGCGATTATTCGCAAATGGAAGAAACACAGAATAACTGTCAATCTCCCTCGGCCTGGGGTTCCATGCAAGATCTCACCTCGTGGAGTTGTAATGATCATGAGAACGATGAGGAATCAGCCCAGAACTACACGGGAGGATCTTGTCAATGATCTCAAGGCAGCTGGGACCATAGTCACCAAGAAAACAATTGGTAACACTACGCCGTGAAGGACTGAAATCCTGCAGCGCCCGCAAGGTCCCCCTGCTCAAGAAAGCACATATACATGCCCGTATGAAGTTTGCCGATGAACATCTGAATGATTCATAGGACAACTGGGTGAAAGTGTTGTGGTCAGATGAGACCAAAATGGAGCTCTTTGGCATCAACTCAACTCGCCGTGTTTGGAGGAGGAATGCTGCCTATGACCCCAAGAACACCATCCCCACCGTCAAACATGGAGGTGGAAACATTATGCTTTGGGGGTGTTTTTCTGCTAAGGGGACAGGACAACTTCACCGCATCGAAGTGATGATGGACGGGGCCATGTACCGTCAAATCTTTTCTAAGCCAGGGCATTGAAAATGGGTCGTGGATGGGTATTCCAGCATGACAATGACCCAAAACACATGGCCAAGGCAACAAAGGAGTGGCTCAAGAAGAAGCACATTAAGGTCCTGGAGTGGACTAGACAGTCTCCAGACCTTAATACCATCGAAAATCTGTGGAGGGAGCTGAAGGTTCGAGTTGCCAAACGTCAGCCTTGAAACCTTAATGACTTGGAGAAGATCTGCAAAGAGGAGTGGGACAAAATCCCTCCTGAGATGTGTGCAAACCTGGTGGCCAACTACAAGAAACGTCTGACCTCTGTGATTGTCAACAAGGGTTTTGCCACCAATTACTAAGTCATGTTTTGCAGAGGGGTCAAATACTTATTTCCCTCCTTAAAATGCAAATCAATTGATAACATTTTTGACATGAGTTTTTCTGGATTTTTTTGTTGTCATTCTGTCTCTCACTGTTCAAATAAACCTACCATTAAAATGATAGACTGATCATTTCTTTGTCAGTGGGCAAACGTACAAAATCAGCAGGGGATCAAATACATTTTTCCCTCACTGTATGTGTGTGTTTCTCTCTGTGTGTCTGTGTTATCTCTCTCTGCTTATGTGTCTGTCTATGTGTATGTGTCTGTGTTTTGTTTCTCTCTCAAATATAGCAATCTTTGGAAGAACGTAATCAACCAGGTAGGGTGTTGACTGTTATGTTAGCCGACTCTCTGTGTTGTATTGCATTATATTTCTAAGTTTACTAGGTTTGATTTATCTTTTTCATTTGTACCTGATGATGATTGCTTGTGTTGCAATCCAAACGTTGTATGCTATTGTTTCTCCTCGTTTAGGACAAATTTGGCACAATTGCCATTTCAGCTGTCCTTAAACGCTTGTTGTTTTTGTTCATTTATTTTTCTAAAAGTTATTTTTTGGAATTGATTATTACTGTGGTAACTGGGTGAGTAAATGGCTGGCGGGGCAAGTGAGTGATTGGGTGGGCACTTTGAAGGGAAGATGGGCCAGTAAACTGGAAGCGTTGGTGAGAGAGCAGGATTATGAGCAAACAAACAAGGCGCGAGGCCTCTTGCGGTGACAGGTGCGTCTGAGGTGTGCGTATGGTCGCGTGTGGTTACCCGCATTAAAGGTTTTTGAAAGTCCTATTTGGCCCCAGAATGGGCAAGCAAATGGGAAGATTGGTGTGCGACTGGGCAGGTGAGCGAGGTGGGGAGCGATTTTTTTTTGTCCATGAGGCACACGAGGGCTTCTCCATGCCCCAATCAGCGCCTCACGGGTTATCTTGTAAACGATCTTTCTGTTTGATGCTGTATCGCTATGTCGTTACCATAATGCACTGCATGCTGATGCTGTCTTGTTTCCTTCCTCCTCTTTTGAAAAGGGGCTCTTCACCTCATTATTATTGTTTATAATTGTTCATAAAACTTCTCGTTATTTTTGGAGATGGCTTGTCTGGGACCGTCCACAGTTGTTCATCTCCTCACATTTATCATTCATATTAACAAGTAGAATTCATATCAGCCGCTCAAGTTATTTCACTGCTGTAACTTGCGTAGACTTTTTACCGCCTTACGAGCAATCATTTAACGCTGCCTCGCAACGGAAACAATGCGGTGAGTGGCCGTTTCAAGCAATGTAGGTTGACTGGCCTGAGTGGTATAGCTTTTGCTGCTTTTTGCAGAAGTTCGCAGTTCGAGAACCAGCTATGGCCCTGGTTAATACTGCGGGGGAGTATTCACCATTTATACACGCTGCCTGCCTGACAGCGGACACTAAAGTTCCTGTGATGCTATTTGACAAAGAGTAGGTCATGTGTGCTGGCGTCGTAGTACAAATTTGCCAAAATTAACAAATTGGGTCACTATGGCAGATTATACCTGTCTGTGAATTATAGCGACTCTGTGATAGTCGTGCACTGTAAGACTAGCGTGAATACCAAATGTTAGTCATGCTTTGATTTGAAGATGAAGAGATTTTCTTTCTCTTCGTACGGCTGATGTTGGTTTCGCAAAAGCGAGATGTTAACTTCCTTGCCTGGTATTCAGGAGTTCGGGAATTCCATCCCGACCCTGACGCCGGTATATGTTGAGTTTTCATGTTCTCCCCATGGTCACGTGGATTTTTCTCCAGGTCCTCCGCTTTTCCCTCCACATTTCTAAACGTTCTTTAAGAGTATTTGGCTGCTATAAATTTCTACATGATAAGCCACTTATTTGAGCAATTATTTGTGGCCAGGTCACTTCTGAACAAGACTTATATAGCTCAGGGGGCTTTACCTGGTTAAAATTAAAAAATGTTGTTGATCTAGTGCTGTAACTTTACATTGAGGTGGTTGAGCCAAATCATTGCATCAGGAGTAGTGGAGTGGTTTATCGCTGTGATGACATCTTCATATTTGTGCATCAGGCATTGAGTCTTATGTTCCATTGTTTGTTCTGGGTGAACGCAGTCGCACATTGGAGAGTGTTTACTTTTCCATATGTGCATCAAGCATCCGTATCGGCTGCTGCCATGGTTTGTGTGGATGCGGTTGAGCGTTATGCCCATAAGATGTATGGAAGATCGAAGCCAGATATCTTTTGCGTCGAGTTTGCGATTCCAAGAATTGTCAGGGGTTGAAGTTGCATCGTTGAAAAATAATCGCTTGGGTCCAAAAGCGCTTGCCATAACGTCAAGCGCGGTGGTGCCGGTGAGGGACATTTTTGAGACCGTCGTAGTGAATGGGGAGACTCACTTTTTTCCACGTTTCGCTTGGTTTCCCGGATCGTTGCAGCGTCGCGGCGAATGGGTGCGGGAGGAGCAGTGTGCGTCAACACGGGCAACCAGGGCGTTGGGGTCGACTTGATGGTTCCAGTGAGGCACTGCATCGCAGTGCTCAGTTGGAACAAGTCTTCTTTTGTATAGCTCGTATAGATGCAGAGCAACAACTGCCATTTCACAAGCTGCTTGTGACTACTCCTGGTTCACACCGGTGTTGCACAGAACTTGGCTCCGAGAGTACTCAAGGACCATCGCCGATGTCTGGACCACCGATGGCTGATGCTCCACAACTTGTTATTGCCCTTATCTGGCTTCCTTCTTCAGGTGGTCGGGGAAGGCTTGGCATGCTGTCCAGCATCACTCCTGCACAGACAGGTCGGGTCGGGTTGCATGGCGTTGCCGTGAAGGGACACATAAAGGGACACTTTTACGTTGCTGTTATTGAGATGGAATTGTGGGGGGTTTGAGCCACCCATTTCCGGAGATATCCTTCCATGGTGTTTCGGGTCCCTGTTCAAGGTGGACTCGATGTCATTGAAGGATGGCTGCTTGCCTTGCCAGTGGCAGGTCCATTGAGACCCGAGTGAGCTGTCACCCAAACGAAGAGGTCACTGGGTGGCTCGTCAGAGGTCAGAGTGTGGAGGCGGCATCACTGAAATACAGATTTCTAATGTGGGTTTCGTTCGCCTGTGATTAAACGGGCTTCTCAAGTGTAGCGAGTTGATGGTTT